ATTCCTAACTCTTTACATTCATTTATTACATAACCGACGAGGGTTTACGTGAATAATCACTAAGCGCTGCATTTTGACACATTTTTGTGTGTATTTGACCGTTTACGCGCTAAAAGATGACTTTGTCCGTGTTGTGTTCCATCTCTGAGCGCATCCACAGTAATCTTCCCGAGTAAGCGCAAGTTCTTTCACGCTTTTAAAATTGCACAGCCCTAAATTGTGATGAACTTAGCTTAATTCTGTCTGATTCTTCCATTTCTGTAAAGGTAAACCGCTTCTTGGAGACCTACTCTAATATGGCCAAAGACATCCCACCAGACAGTCTGTCTCAGCTGCGGGCTGACTTCTCAAACATTTCCTCCCGGTACTTGGCCGCTGTCCACAAGGGCCATCTTCCCTCTCCTGAACTAGTCATCTCCATGCAGAACTATCTGACAGCTGTCAGGGAGACTTGTAGAGCCTCCTGGGCCCGTTTTAACCCTTTCAAAATGGCTGCTGGGCTCTTAATATTAGGAGTTGCCTGTATGCTGTGCTACATCCTTTCCGAGTTGTCTCATGTAGTGATTCAGGAAGGCCTGCTGAAGTGGCCCATACTCTCAGGGTTGGTGGTGGGACTAGTAGTAGCTGCAGGTCAGCTGTTCTCACAAGGTTATTTAGAGCTCTCGTGGTGTGTAGGAGCTGCAGCACTATTTTCTGAAGTTTTGTTTCTATGGAGGACTCATGGAGTTTCTCCAAAAGGGAGGTGGTCACCTTCTGGCCTCCTCACGCCGGCCCTGCTGGTGCTTTTCCTCCGCTGTGCCTCCCTACTCTCGGACAGCTATGTCATCTATGAGGGCAACGTGGTTACCTTCTTGCTCTTCACGTTAAGCATCTATGTTCCTCTCCGTCTAAACTGGGATGGACTCCTGGTGCCACATCCCCCACCAGACACCCAGAAGCCACCTCAGCTGCTCCCAACAGCACTGCCGTCCTCAGTGGTTAGACGGCAGGCCACCATCTTGTTGGTGTGGTTGGGAGTGCTGGTGGGATCGCTCTACCTATCCCTCTCCTTCCACAACTGCCGAGAGGAGCAGGGCACCTGCCAGCCCTCACCTTTCCTCTCCCCGCTCTCACGAGTACAGAACAGCCAACTGCGCAACCTCCACTATGTCCTCTCTGTTGGCTCACTGGCCTTGTGGGGGTGCCTTCTACATCGATGGCTCAGACATTACGGGAACCTTAACTGTACTAGTGTGACTCTGTTGTCAGCCTGCTTCCTCTTATGGCCTGTGTTTGCATGGGGTTGCACTGGGCGGTGAGCGCCACCCCCGAAGACACCTTCAGGAGTTTGTCCGAACTCATCGGCCTAGCTCAAGTGTTCCTGCCTCGGGCCACTTTCTGCCTGCTAGGCCTGGGACTGCTCCTGTTGTGGGTGGACCCCATGACAGTGTTCCTCAAGTCAAGGACCCCAATGAACTCTCGAGGAACATCCCTGCCACCCCCCAAGTACCGAGCCAGTACGGGAATCAGTCCGCAGGCTGAACTGCACCACCTCATACCACAGTTGTATCAGCGCATCCGGCACTCGCTGGAGGACGAGGCTACGGAAAGTGGCGAAACTGATAGCAGGCCAGCTGTGGAGGCTTACGGGCTGGGTACAGTGTACTCAGCCCCCTTGGTTCTGCTTTGTGGACTCCTGGGGTTGGTGCTTCTGCTGCTCCATCCGGAGGGAATGGCTCTTGCCTTCCTGCTTCTCCTGCTAGAGGTTGGAGCCGTGCTGCACATCCATGCCTGTAGCACCAACCTCTCCAGCCTTCACAAGCACTCCAGTAAGACGCACTCCATTATTAGCTTCACATCTTATGTCTTGCTGAGCTATTACTACTGATGCATTAAATCTTCTTCTTTAACCCTCCTAGATGGTTTTAGTGTGCCATGGGCTCCAGTGGTTTCATGGTCTCTGGCAGCCACCCAGTTTTTCCACACAACAGGACACCTCCCAACTTTCCCCTCCATTCAGTGGGGTGCTGCATTTGTAAGCTTTCCTCAAGGTCACACAGGCACTGTGCTTCCTGCCTCATTGGTGACCCTCAACACCTTCTCCTCTCACATCATCTTTGCAGGTATTCACATTGTATATATTTCTCTATTAGAATTATCTTTAATCTCTCCATTTCTAATGATCATTAATTTGCACATGCAGTTGGTTGTCCTCTGCTGCTGTTCTGGCCTCTGGTGTGTGAGGTGCGTGGGACCCGATCTACGCACTCAGCAGGAGTGGAGGAGAGCGAGGACGCTGTCATGGAGATGAGACTGAGAGAGAACCCTCAGAAGTTCAGCTCGGGTCTCCTGCAGCTCGCTGCACGCCACCTCTTTGTGAATGGAGCGCAGGTGTGTTCAAATTGCATTGCATAATGCTCACATTAAGTTGGGCACAAAAATCGTGCACAGCTACATTTTTACAGGGTGGCCGCGGGTCCTTAAAATGTCTTAAATTCAGATTCAGTGGCTCTTAAATATATTTGGTCATATAACCGCAAACATTTCTCCAGTCTGACGGACACCGTGACTGTTTACAAATCATTGGACAGACTGAAGATTTTTTTTCCCCGCTGTAGTTACTGCGTCATCAGAGAGAATTGCGGCGGCAAGTGGGTGGTTGGTAAAAAATGGTTTGAGAATTTTACTTGCCCAACAGGACAAATAGCCTGATTAAAACTTAAAGGGATAGTTCACCCAAAAATGAAAATTTGATGTTTATCTGCTTACCCCCAGGGCATCCAAGATGTAGGTGACTTTGTTTCTTCAGTAGAACACAAACGAACATTTTTAACTCAAACCGTTGCAGTCTGTCAGTTTTATAATGGATGGGAATCACGGCTTTGAGAGTAAAAAAAAAACATACACCAACAAAACCAAATTAAACCTTGCGGCTCGTGACTATACATTGATGTGTAAAGACACGAAACGATCGGTCTGTGCAAGAAACTGAACAGTATTTATATTGTTTTTTGACCTCTGATGCACTGCAATGTCTAAACTGTCCTGAGCGCGTCCTCGACAGCCGGCGCGTGAGGCGTCTTCTTGCTTTACGGCGGATCGCAGACTTATAAGTGCATTACCACCACCTATCTCTCAAATGGACCATTGACACTCCTAATTGGATTGTAGATAAGAGTGTCAGTGGTCCATTTGAGAGATAGGTGGCGGTAATGCACTTAAGTCTGCGATCCGCTGTAAAGCAAGAAGAAGAAGACTCCTCTTTTTTTTTTTAATTTTTTTTATTAGTTTTTCTTTTTACATTAAACACATTAAATATTTCATATACATATGTAATATAATGTGTATTTCCATCACAGGTTTGGTCTTAAAAAGTCTTAAATTTAGCTTTATCATATCTGTAGACACCCTGTTTTAACTGAAACGATGTTTCTGTGACCTCCTTCGTAGTGACACGGCGTTTTACGGTAATCGCTATTTTATTTTTATTTTTTTATCATTCACCAGAGTGTGAATTCTGAAAAGTATGTATTTTTTTTTGTGTTTAGTTGTGTAAGACTTGGTGTGAAGAGGCTTAGCAGGCTAATGTTTTCTCGTCTAGTGTGATTTATATGCTTTTGTAAAATGGAACATAAATTATAAATAACTTGTTTACCTTTAGGTTTTTGCATCGGTTTGTGCTGCAGCCATCCTCAGGAGACACCTCATGGTGTGGAAAGTGTTTGCACCCAAGTGAGTCACCATCTCTAACTTATTGTTTCTTTCTCTTCTACCTCTTATCGCTTTCTGTCTTTTTTATTTTAAGGAATTGATTAAATGATCTAGGAATGTGCACATTTTCGAAATAGACTAGTTGGTGGGTTGAAAAATGGTGGTTGGTGTTGTTTGACAATGTCGTTTCGTACGAGGTCCTTTATAACTTTACTAAAATTCACCCACACACCACTTGCTTTTCATGTAAAGAGAGTTTAGCCCGCTAACTGTCATGCTTTATAAGTAGATGATGTTAACTCTGAATTATGACTAAGAGTTTTATAACAACTCCGACTTTCACAAGTGGTAATTTATTGTAGTGATGGATTTTGCCGTCATTACGAACAAACCCACACAGGGATCCATTGTGGACAGTGAAAGTTAATGACAAAAAAGCTCTTCTCATAACTGCATTCTAAGATATTCTTCTTTTCGGCAGATTGATGTTTGAGGCATCGGGCTTCATCGTGGGCAGTGTGTTCCTGATACTGGAGGTCGCCATGGTGATGAGGGTGGACGTTTCAGTGGGTGGGTTATTTAAGAAACTCCTCCCTCAGAACTCCAGGTAGCACTGGCTACCCTGACCACGCCCCCTTTTCCGTCCTACAAGCCCAATCCTGACCTCTTCAGAGATGTGCTGGTCATCCTCCTCAACTCCACTGCCAACCATACGAAAGGAAACCAGATTTGTTTTGCATCTGACTTTTGTCTGTTTTGGACCAAAGAGGTCTAAAGCATCTATTCATTTTCCGAATACGTGAGAGAAGTCAATAAACCGAAGCTCATATTTTATAAAATCTTTCAACAAGCTGTTGAACTGTCAGCCTTTGTTGCTCTGCTGCCTTTTTGTATTGAAGAAGAGAGAGAAAAGATGATCTTTGTGCATGCCTTTTTACTGCCATTTTCCACAAGGTCATTATAGAGATGATATTAAGTTATTATATTGAAGGGCTACCTGAAATCCACAGTGTTGCTATGGTATGAACACACCCCCCCCCGCTGTTTAAATATTTAAAGGGATAGTTCATCTAAAATGTAAATTCTCTCATCATTTCCACCCTGATGTTGTTCCAAACCTCAAAGCAATGATCTAGATGACCAAGTTGCTCCATACAATAATAGTCGATTGGTACCAAGCGCAATTGTGGTCACCATTTGCATTCGTTGTATGGAAAAGAGCAGCTTGGACATTCTGCTACACACACCCTTTGTGTTTTACAGAAGAAATAGTCATACAGGTTTGGAGTGTAAATTATGACAGAATTTTTTGGATTTGGGTTGAACTATCCCTTTAAAAGCTACAAGTGCATGCTTGAGGGAGTCATTAATTTCAGCAGTGGACTGGAACTATTTTTTTTTGTTTTGTTTTATTCTTCCGCTTGTTTTTTTTTTTTTTTTTAAGCTTGAACTGTGTTTGATAATCGCTCATTGTTAATGTGTTGTCCTGTCTATTCCCTAGCAATAACCACTCGAGCATCAGGGTTGAACCAATAACATGTCTGTTATATTCTGCACCGTTTGAAATGTATTTTTATTATTATTTTAAATTCCTCACCTAGATAACAGGTCACTAGCTTTAACGGTTGCCTTGTTTGATGTTAGTGAATGAAACGGTGTTCATTCAATTTGCATTGACCGTTATTTATTTAGCTGTCATATATTTAGTTCACTAATGGATTAAATGACTTATTTGATCTCATTTTTGTGAGAAATGCATGGGGAAGATAATTACATCATGTGCTCAGGTTAATTTAGCCATAATGCAGTAGAAGTATTCTGCTCTGCATGGTGCATTTGTGTGTGTGAGGGGCTGAATCTTTATTTTATTTTTTACTTTTTTAAAAAGCAAAATACTGTCAAGCCATACAGTGGCTTTTAATGTCTTAATGTGTGGTTGATGATTGAATTAGCTGTGAAAGGAATCATTTTAATTGGCCTAAAATTGTTTAAATTCATTGATAAAAGGGAGAAAATCAATTAAATATTTTGTACAATTTGAAATGGTTGTTTGTGTGTGCATTCTAGTTTCTTTTTGTTTGCAGGAGCAGCTGTTGGCCTGCAGAGCGCAGTGTTTTATCTAAAAACACCCTATGAAATCTGATTGATTCTGCGGTCAGTAAGTGCCAGGGTAAGCTCAGAAATGACTTACAAGCAGAATTCAGTCTGTTCAATTCTGTTATGCTGTGACATTTCCCCTTTAAAATAACTTTTTGATCTTTCACACATCATTAAGGGAGTGATGTTAGACAGAGGTGTATTTCTTTTACAGTCTTTATCAGTACTTAAAGACATCTGTGATTTTTGCAGAAATAACATATTATTTTTGGTATACAGGACAAGAATAATGACTGTAAATAGTGTGGGGCCCTGTGGTGGCAGCATTATTTATTGAAAGTTCACCTGCAACCATTAGAAATGAAAATATAAAAATAAAACAGCCGTTTTCCAGCATAAATAGCACTGTTTCCTGAAATGACCCATTTATTAAACATCACTGAAATGAGGAAATAACTAGTTATTTATAATTTACATATGTCAATTCCTATTTATTGCAACCTGCACTGAAAGAAACACTGAAGGCAAACCTTTTAACGTAAAATTATAAATTAATATGCTTGTTTGTAATTTAAGGATGTAGTCCCTTTTCCCCTTGATGCCCAAAGTGCCCTTTAACTGGACAAGTGTAAATGCATCTGGTTGTTGAAACCACATATGCACATTTTACTCCTTCCAAAACGTTAAAATAATAAACGTGTGAAAGCGTGTTTTAGGCTATATGACATTATAGTCAGATATGACAGCGCTAATGCAACACGCATCGCCGCGGACGAGTAGCTGAGCATTTCTTCAGCAAGA